TAGGGGTGGGCATCGGTCGGTTCGGTTCGATTATGAATATTATCGGTTTAGCATATCGGTTATCGGTTTACAAATATGATAAACCAATAACCAAACCGATAAGATATTAGTTATCGGTTAATCGGTTATTGATCATTATCGGTTCGGTTATCGGTTTACCCGATAAGATAACTCAATGTAGAGTTAAGCAAAAAAGAGAAGAGTAAAACGGTTTTAAAACTCGTTTCTGGCCACAACTAAAACAGTTTTATATCAGTTCTGGACAGTGGACACAACTAATTGTGCTAATCTTCCTGCTAGCTTTGACTTAATCTGACCCCTGCAATACAGTTGTTGTATCACATGTCTTACCAATTGTGCTAAAATAGTTTTATATCGACAACTAATATTCAACGTAATCAACACTGCATTGAACAAAGAATCTACAACAAACATAATCAAACACTGTATTGAACAAAGAATCTGCAACTAATATTCAACATAATATTGCTGCTACAACTTTCTAGTTTCCAACACTACAAACATCAACATAATGTTGCTGCTAAGCCATAAAATTTACAACTAATAGTTCAACACTACAAACAGTTGTCCAATTGTTTGAAAGAGTAGGGATGACATCAATAGAATCAAACACAACTAATAGTTCAAACACATTAATAACAATACAAAGTAGTAGCAATTTTACCTTAATATTAACAAGTCCAAACATAGTACTAATAGTTCAAATTCGAGTTAAAAAGAAAAGAGCAATGTAATGCATGGTTATTCCAATGCAATCTGATGTGTGGTTATAATTCCATAGTTTCGTACATTATGTGCCTTGCATTTTACATGCTTTAATGATAAATTATACTTTATTTGTACATAATGGAGTCTATTTTATGTGTAGGTGAATTGGAGATGAAAGTAGAGAAAAAGGGATACTTAAACGTTGAAAGTGTGCTCGAGAACAGTGAAAAGGAAAGACCTGGCGAGGCCAGTCTAAGGCCGGGCTGGACCAGGCTTTAGACTGGCGAGGCCAGCCAAATTCCAGGCGTTAGGCTGGTGACGCCAGGCCTGAGGCCAAGCCCAATCCGAGTTTTGAAGACTTAATTTGTTCCGGGTTTGACTAGGACTCGGCCCACACATTTAGGGTTTCTAATCAAATATGTTGCTACTGACTGCATACTGCAGTACCAGTAATTTCTTTTGATTGGTGAATGCACTACCAGTAAGGTTCTATTTTCATGACAAAATCTTAAAAAATGAATTAAAAGAATCTAGACATAATGCAACTGAACAAAATACATATTGGTTTTATCCTACACCTACTTTTTCTGTGATTTTACAATTAATATTCTCAGAAGTTTTTCATTCTTAAAGTTAATTCTACGATTTCCTAGACAATGAAGTTCCATGTAGACAATGAAGATGAAGCAACTAAAAACTTACACGAAGAATGAAGATGAAGCTGAAGAATGCGGCTCAGAAATGTGAATTGTGAAGCAATTGAAGAGTGAAGAGTCTGAACTCTGAAGAATACGGCTGAGGCTGAGAAAGAATAGGAAAGAATGAAGCTCTAGCATATCTGAATATGTGATACTTAAGGGTAAAGTAGTAATTTCGTTAATCCTTATTAGGTTATCGGTTAACCCAATAACAGAATTGCCAAACCGAGGCCCGAACCGATAACCCAATAGTGATAAAATTCTAAACCGTTACCGAACCGTTAACCCAATAACCTAATACCGATAACCCAATAAATAATTAACGATTCGGGTTATCGGTTTTACCCGATATATGCCCAGCCCTAGATTAGAGTGTGGGGGTGAAGGGTGGGATAGGGAGGGTAGGGATGAAAAATAGTGTGGGGAAGGTTGAAAAAGAGTTTTCAAAAATGCTTTTCTCCTTTTGGTAGGGAAGTCATTTTCCTCAAATTGGAGGAAAATGTTTTCCAAAATATTTAAGTCAACTAAACATAGAAAAATTAATAAATATCTTCATACCAAACACACCCTTATAATCAGCTCCCCATTTCTTCGTGCCATAATCAGCTACATGTGAACCAAATGAGTAGACCAAATGAAAAGTTCAAATACTTACCACCACTAATGTCAATTCCAAGGATGCTACGGCAACTAAAGTTTTGCGCTGTAGTCAAGAAAAGATAACTGATATTAACAAAAGATAACAGAAAACGGAAATGTGTAACGTCTATAAGTGGACAATATTAGCTGGGATATCAAGAAAAAGTCCCACATGCGAGTGAAACCATTAAGGTGAAATCCTAATTCAGGAGCTGAATTCTAATTCAGAACCGATATGCAATTAAAAAACTTGTACCAATAGCGACTGTGATCAATCCCCTATTACAGCCAATATCAAGACAATCCTTGCCTTCAAACCACTCCTCTTCATAGCTTTTAATCTATCCCCTTTCTGTGCACAAAAATACCAATTAGTGAGAGTCCAGCTAAATGGGAACAAAACAAAAAGGGAATCTGAGCTGCTCCCAAATTGTTTCAACTTGGGAACAGTAAGATACTAAGATTTTCTCGAAGACACCACAGTAGTAGATACCTAAATTTAGCTGGAGATGATGTCACTTATATTAGATTAGGTACATAAAAGTCTTACAGATGTTTATCCATACTGTAATATGTATGAGGTAAGCATAAAATAGACAGAATTTTCAACCTCCCACCTCAAAGAATTACTAGGTGCGGGGGAAACTTATTCATTATTTCTCTTTAATTTAACAGATTAATTTCTCATACTGCTGATATTTATTATTAAAAAATAGAGGTGGATGGGGCAGATGAATATTTTAACCCAAAAAAAGGTAATACTACCAATTATCTCTAGTAACAGAACAATTGGAACATCAAAAAGACCACAAAAGCTAGACAACAAATTTCAAAACACGATTAGGGGGATTGATAAGATACTGAAAAAGAGATTCATAGTTCAAAAATCAACTGAATCTCCCCTGACAGTGTTTTAGGGAGTACTACAATCCACAACGCTAAGCACTGTGAACTTCTCCCGAGGGTCAGCTCACTTGGTAACTAGACTCACCTTCCACCTTGTATCATAACTTCATAAGTAACATCTTCTTCCCTTCTCCCATTCCCCCTTTTTCTATGCAGTAATAACAATAAAAATAAAAGAATAGTAAGTTTGATTGTTTTTGGTTTGATTAGAATGTGTTATTTTGGTTTTTAAGAATGTTCTGATTTTTTCCTTTGGAAAACAATTTTGTTTTATTAATCAAATAACTTTTCTCGTGTAGCGAATCCCACGGTGGATTCGCCATTAAAACTTGAAAGAGAAATTCAAAGAAAGAGAAAAGATATTAAAAGATTAAAATTCTGATTTTCATTCAACATGTCCTTGAATATACATCATAACAGGTATTTAACGAACATGGGGAAAAGTGCAAAAAGCTAACTTCGGGGTAAAATATCAACGCAACAACTATTTTTGGGACTCAAGTGTAATTATTCTAAACTAGGACCTATTTTCTTCATTTCCATTTGTTACATTCCATCCCCTTATAACAACCTTGTCCTCATGGTTGGAAAATACAGAGTAAAGCACTCGAATGCACTGGCTAGTTGCCTCCCTTGGCTTTGTAGTAACTTCCTGGATCTTGAGGCATAAGCATCCTGAAAATGTCTCCAACAATATACAGACCAACTTCATGAACTCCAAAATGCTATGCTCCACAAATAAAGTAAGTCCAAATTTGAATAATAATGGTAGCTCGACCACAGTCAACACAAGGTTTATCTGATGAGGCATTTCCTTCAGTATCTCCTATGCCTTTAATTCATCAGGAACAACAGCAACATACTGCTCCTGCTGGTGGACTTCGAGCTGATACACTTCCACACCAGAAACAACAAGCCCTTCTAGTGCAGACTTACTACAAGTATGTTTCTTTTCCATAACCATGAACTCAAATCATCAGCCAACAAATTCCGACTTTCCATCAGTTTTTCGCACCAATTCAACTTAGTACTTGCAACATTGTGTGCGTGGAATAAATCTTTCTCCTCTATCTCAACCAAAGTAACTGTTGCAGAAGAAACCTCCATTTTGCTATAAGCGAGCAAAATATCTTCAAGAGAATATAATTGAATGCCAAGGGCATAGAAGACCATATTTAATTGAATGAAGTCTTATTTAAATTGGGTGGGCAGGTTAAATTATCTTAAATAGGTGACCATATTTAAATTGGAAGAGACCGAGCATAACAGAAATAACGAAAATAGTACAAGTCTAAAACTAATAACATAAATAACTACGTCGATACATAAAAATCCCTAGAACTGGTAATACAGAGTCATGAGCTCTAAAATAGAAGTACAGGCCTGGAAATACAAAATAGAAATAATGTCCGAATAAAAACAACAACAATTGAAATGGAAAGAAACACCAAAGATTGTGGTGGAAATGTGGCTCTACCTCCTCTCTAGGCAACTCGGAACAACAATCACGGAAACTCACAGCTCGTTCCAACACCTAAAACTGCACAATTAAGTTCAAAGTGTAGTATTATTACAACCGACTCCATGTACTCAGCAAGTATCATAACTAACCTCAGCAAGGTAATAGAGGCAAGAATTATCAATGATACTCGCTAATAACCTGCTCAGCTCATGAATTTCCACAAGTACACAACAATAATATCATCAAATCATGAAATACAGATAAAGTCAACTCGATGTACAAAGGATAATATGCTAAACTCTGTATCAGTTAACAATCTAGAATATAGAGAAAATATGCTCATGAAACAAGTATACAACCAAGGAAAATTGCAAGCAGAGAAGAAATGCAATAACCGAACCAAACCACTTACCAAGTTTTCTCATACCGCATGTACACCATCAAGAGAGAAACATGAGAGGGTGACCCTAGGGGGACTTATCCACACGCTGCATGGACAACTCACGTGCTGCACGAATAACTCACATGCCAGCAATATCTCAAACACACAGACAACTCACGTGCCAATAATCACAACCGCACGGACAACTCGTGTGCTGTCATATCTTGAATCTACACGGACAACTCACTTGCCATCATAACTCAATTGTACGGACAAATCATGTGTTACCAGTCCAATCCATATCACATAGAAAGCAGATATACAAGATTACATGTACATGAACAACGGATATCAAATTTGATACTCGTGGACTAGTATAAGTGACATGTTAAGGTGTATGCATGTGTGAAGTGTGCTACCATATCTCAAATCAAGCAATTACAACACGAAAATTGCAATTTTCATATTCAATCAGGAGATTAACCTATGTGTAAACTCAAACATGGTTCAAATAGCTCAAAAAAAGGGTTCAAACATAAGAAACATAACAACTTGTAGTTTAGCAATCAATTCAAGGCATATCATAGCCTAAGCATTACCCCGAGCATGGATAATACCCCGGTGCACGAATATGAGCTCAACCCCTCACTTGTGCGTCACCCATAGCACATAGCTATCACTAACAACTGAGGAAACTAGTGCCTGAACAAAGTTTAGGTAGGATACTTACCTTAAAAAAGCCAAATCAATACTCTCAAAATCCCTTCCCGTGTGAATCAACCCTCGGACGGCTTGAATCTAGCCAAAATAACTTAATAACATCAATAAAAGCCATAGGAAATAACCCCAAACAATAAAGTTTCGATCTTAAACGAAAATCAAGAAGTCAACCCTGGCTTGCCTCCCCTAACCCGATAAAAGTCAAAACTTCCGAACAACATTCGAGTACTAGTCCAACCATACGAGTTTCATCCAATTCTGACTCTGAATTGGGGTTCAAATCCTCAAATTTCATTTACAAAAGTTTTTACCAAAATCCCTAATTTCTTCACTTAGATTCCTCAATCAAACGCTAAAATCAAGGTTGGAATCATGAATAATAAACAAATCCGAGTCAAAAATACTTACCCTAATCAAAATCGTGAAAATCCCCTCAAAATCGCCCAAATCCGAGCTCCCAATCTCAAAATATGTTAAAATAACTCAAACCCTCGAAATAGAACTCTTAAGTAGCTACCCAGTGATACCCTTCGCAATCACGGAACCTACTTCGCGATCGCGAAGCACAAACCAAAAGCTGCCTTAGAATACCCTACGCGAACGCGACCCACTGCCCGCGATCGCGCTTCACAACCTCCTAAGCCTACGCAAACATGAACCCCATTTGCGAACGTAAAGGCTAAGCCACCTGACCTCCCGGCCTGACAAAGACCCTACGTGATCGCGACCCTTGCATCGCGAACGCGAAGCTTCAGCTCCACAGCGACCAAAAATGTGACCTCCACACCGCGAACGCAAAGAACAAAAAGGTTCCAGCCACAGAACACTCTCCGCAATCACTATACACCACCCACGATCTTGAAGCACAATAGACATCAGAAAACCAGCAATTCCAAAATAAAGGAAAATGGTCTGAAACACACACGAGGCACCCCGGCGTCAAATCACACCAACCAATCTCAAAACATAACACAGACCTACTCGATGCCTCAAATAACACAAAATAACATCAAAATCACGAATCGCACCTCAATCTAAACTTAATGAACTAATCCAAATTTCTGAATTCAAAACTTACGACGAACAAGCTTAAACAACTCAAAATAACCTCAAATTTTGCATACAGGTCCAAATGACACAACAAACCTATTCCAACTCTCGAAACCACAATCCGAAACTGATATCATCAAAGTCAACTACCGGTCAAACCTATGAACTTTCCAAACCTTCAAGTTTCCAACTTTTTCCAAATAGGACCAAATCAACATAGGAACCTCCAAATCCAAATTCGGATATATGCCTAAATCCAAAATTACCATACAAACCTATTGGAGCAATCAAAATACCATTCCGGTATCGTTTATACAAAATTTAAACTTCGGTCAACTCTTACAACTTTAGACTCCCACCAAGGGACTAAGTGTCCCAATTCAATCCAAAATTCCGTTGAAACCAAACCAACTATCCCCCCAAGTCATATAACAACAAATACACATACGGGGCACATCAAATAGGGGAACGAGGGTTAAATACACAAAATGATTGGCCGGATCATTATATTCTTGAGCTACTTTCCCTTTATTGTTATTATTATGATGTTACTGTTATTGTTGACTGTTGAAAGTGAGTAGCAAACTTTTGCCAATCTCGTCACCATCTTCAATTCGAGGTTACGCTTGCTATTTACTGAGTACATGAGGTCGGTTGTACTTATACTATACTATGTATTTATGTGCAGATCTAGTTGCTGCTGATAAAGCTGATTGAAAGAGGGTTGCACCGGTACCCGTTGGTGATTTCAAGGTATCACTGTTGTTTCCATCCGCATGCCTTGGAGTCCTTTCCTTTACCTTTATTATTACTATTTATGTACTTTAGACAGTATTGTATCATTATTCAGACCACTGTACTTATTTATTCTTTACAGCTCATATACTCGTTGAGACCAGGTTCTGGGATGGTATTTTAGTTGTATTGCTCTTCTTCTACAATTATCTATCTTATTCTG